TCCCGCAGGAAAGCCACTCCCACTGGAGTGTCTGGCCTGCTAAAGAAGAACAGGGCTGGAACTGGAAGACAGGCGGCTCACCGTAAGGTAGGGAAATAGGGGCTTGGGGGACCTCTCTGTTTAGTGTTAAATTAGGCAGGGGGTCAGTGTATTAATTTGAGGGAGGGAGGGGGCAGCGTATTAAATTAGGGGAGGGAGTGGGCTGTGTATTAATTTTAAGGAGGGAGGGGGCCTTTGTATGAAATTGGGAAGGGGAGGCATTGTATTAATTTGAGGGAGGGAAGGGGACAGTGTATTAATTTGGGGGAGGTAGGGGGGAAGTGTATTAAATTGGGGGAGGGAATCAAGCAATGTATAAGAGCAGGGGTCCTCAAACTACGGCCCGCGTAGTTAGTATTATATCACTGAAAACCTCAAAATAGTAACCAGTACATGTGAGCGGAATAGTTATCCTTTTTTTTTCCTGCATGGTGTAGTGAGACAATGCCGACAATAAATTACAAAGTTTAATACTGTAATGATGTATACTGAGACAATGCCTATAGTGAATTGAGAACGTGAATAAAGACAATACATCTGATGACCTGAAATAGAATATGACTAGGCTATGCCTGAAGTGAACTCACACTATCAAACCAATGTCGCCTACAGTGAAAAGATTTAGGGTATAACACAGCAAGGCCTAAAGTAAAGTGACAGAGAATGAAACAAAAATTCCTCTAGAGACTTTACAATGCTACATAGAAACCAGTGTCTAAAGTAAAACTCACATAACATTCACTGCAATCACATATAATAACCTGCACTAGGTGAATTAAACAGTGCACAGAGAGTCTTCATCAAAAATTGACTGTGGAACACAAGTACCTCTAAGAACAAAATAAAAATAAAATAAACAGTACTAAAATTAACAGAAAAAAAGTATTAATTAACAGTGACATGTTACATAAACATTAGTAGGCAGAGATAAATAATAGAATAACCATTATAAAATAAGGATCAGCTCATGAAGCTAAAGTATATATATATATATATATACACACACAAATTACCATATTGGTCTAGCATTGAATATAAAACATATTTTCCAGCCACCCTTCATTGTCACAGGTTACCCAAATTGTTTCATTTCTCAGTAGAAATTAAACCCTCCTGCCATCTTCATGCAGCAGGCCACGTTTATTTTGGTTTTTATTAAACTGAGGTTACTACATTTTGCAGCAGAAAAAGTAGGTCACACAGAGAGCCTGAGAGATGAATATTTTGGAAAACAAGACACAATACTGAATGCAGGTTAAAATAAAACGTATTGTATACCAAATGTATTTTTATTGAAGTTTACATAAATATACATTGCATGAAATAACATTTTATTTATAATTTCTTACCTTCTATAGTGAAGGTAAAAGAAAGGAGAGTGACAGGAGGGGACAGAATGGAAAATTCAGTTAGTTGGCTACTATAATACACAAATCATTGACTTGATGTCAGAGCTTACGTATCATAATCAAGTAGTTAGAGTTCATTTTTGCCCGTGTATATGAATGCAAAGATTTATGTGTGTGGAGATCTTGCAGATCTTGCAGATTTGTTTCAAATAATGTCTTGCATCTTGGTCTTCTCCCCAACTGAGGGCTTTATTTATTGTACCTATATATTGAAAGTGCAAAATAGATTACACATTAAACAATGTGTATTTTCTCACACAAGTACATGATCTTTGTAGATAGGCACCTGTGTTATAAACAGAATTGTAAATGACACATGCAACCAGTGTGAATTCATTTTCTTGGTTCTAATACAGGTGATACTCGAAAAATTTGAATATCGTGCAAAAGTTCATTTATTTCAGTAATGCAACGTAAAAGGGGAAACTGATATATGAGATAGACGCATTACATGCAAAGCAAGATAGTTCAAGCCTCACAGTGTCCCACTCTAATCAGCTAAGTAAGCCATAACACCTGCAATGGGTTTCTGAGCCTTTAAATCAGGGCTGTCCAACCTGCGGCCCCCCAGATGTTGCTGAACTACAACTCTCATGATTCCCTGGCTATCTGTTTAATTGAAAGAATCATGGGCGTTGTAGTTCAGCAACATCTGGGGGGCCACAGGTTGGGCAGGCCTGCTTTAAATGGTCTCTCAGTCTGGTTCAGTATGAATCACAATCATGGGGAAGACTGCTGACCTGACAGTTGTGCAGAAAACCATCATAGCAACAAAAGGTTATTGCGAAGGAAGTTGGATGTTCCCAAAGTGCTGTATCAAAGCACATTAATAGAAAGTTGTGGAAGGGAAAAGTGTGGAAGAAAAAGGTGCACACGCCGCAAGGATAACCGCAGCCTGGAGAGGATTGTCAGGAAAAGGCCATTCAAAAGTGTTGGGGACTTTTACAAGGAGTGGACTGAGGCTGGAGTCCGTGCATTAAGAGCCACCTCACACAGACGTATACCGGACCTGGGCTTCGGGTATCGGAAGATCCCCAAAACATTTGGGAATTGGATCAGGGCATTTTCGATCCTAGCCAGCCGTCCTAGGGGAAAAGGCACCTGAGAAGTGCTCAGCCCTGTTCTGTTTTCAGGAAACAGTCTGGTTCTATGGTCTGTCCTTTGGCTTGTCTTCATGCCTTCTTCCTTTAGGATAGGTGCTACCACTAAGGCATCTCACCTGGGGTTGGCTAGAAAAGTTATCCAAAGGATTGGGAGATGGGAATCTGGGAGGTCCTGATCATATGTTTGTCCAACTGGGCTGATTCAGTTTCCCGCTTTGACGTTATAGGTGCCAGAAAGCAAGTATGGGTCATTGGCCATTCATATATTTATTGGGCGCAACAGCGGGCTGCAGTTTATCCCGGTGGACTACAACTGGGCCTGTCACCAGTGGCCAGTGGCAGAAGTCCCTTTGTTCGATACCCGGGGGATGCAGTAGGAGCACCTGTCAGTTTGTCCAGACCGCTCGGTGTTCCTGTTGTTATCCTGATTCATGCTGGTGGGAACAATCTTGGCACTATTCCAGTGTGGGATCTGGGGGAGATGGTCCAGAAAGATTTGGCTGAACTATGGCTCAGATTCCTGAGAGTATGTCTGGTGTGGTCCGAGGTGGATCTGTTTAACTTAGCATTGCAGGATGCATGGGAGGAGTCCATGGCTTTGGTGTTGGGGCTACTCCGCTGATTTAGGGGGTAAACCAGCAACTCTTGTGGAGTCATATGGCCCTTGTCAACCAGGGGTTGGACCAGCGGTCCATGGAAAGTGGATGGGTAGGGCTGTCCCTCCCCTAACCTCAGGTACAGTTAGGGATAACGGACGTGCCCACTGAGCCAATAAACGGCTAGTGGTTAGCATTACGTCATGGAAGGCCCAAGAAAAGGCCTTGTTCTGGTTGGAATGAGGGGGGAGGGGGCAGCTGCTCTAAGTTATTGTTGGTTGATAAGGTGGTACTCAGTGACATATCTATTTACTGAGTAATTATGTTAAATGTCTTATTATTTTGATAGTAAAGTAAATGCAAACATATTGCAGATTAATAGAAAAAGCATATGGTTGCCTGCGCAGAGGCATATAAGTCAAAGTGAGTGAGCAATGTTATAGAATGAATATGCATATACTTTGCGAGATTATATATATATGTAAGGCAATGAAAAGCGTAGCATACAGGTTTGTGAATGATAGTTGTAAAGCATAATTGAATGCAATACAATTCTTTTTTTTTTTTTATTCTTTTTTTTTTCTTGTGCATGGAGTAACAACAAGCGTGCAGAGCCACAACAGCAGCTGCAGGCATTTTCGTAGCATATTAAACAGCACATTTTTTTTGTTTGTTTGTTTTAACATAAAAATATCTGGCTTTGTAACATCAGTAGATTGGTTTAGTTACGTTTAAGATTATGTTAAATACATGGCATTGCTTTTCTGAGAAGGGTTAACATTTATACTTATGCCATATGTACAACAGCTTAAATTCTCGCTTAGTTAAGAGTCAGGATGAGCCTGTCAGGCATGAAAAGAAAGGTTATAGGAGAGACACAGAGGGAAAGCATTGCATTTATGGTCATCTTAACCCTGGGTTGTTACTATTGTGAGTCAGACATGTCTGCAGGCAAAGCAAAGTAGTAAATTTACAGGCAATATACTTCATACATGAGGGGAACTATCTACGATGGTTAAGTAAATATGCCGGTGTGCAAGTGACTGCTAGCGTCGAGCAGGATCCTGCTCTGCTACCAGGCTTTGTGTGAGGTCTGACTAGGGGAACCTGCCTAGAACAATTAAAAGAAAAAGAAAAACGGCAGCGGTGTACCACTGGGCATCTTAGATCTGAGACTGCCCGCTAGTTACATATAGTTGCTGTCTCTGACAGAGTCCACGTGTCTTGGGACCGCGGGTGTCTGTGCTTACGTGCCAGGTTCGATACCTCATCTGACAGGGGAGTTAAGGGTCCTCCGACCCCTTCTATTGCCACAGGTACCAGTTGTATGTTGGAAGTCTGCTTTTGTTAGGACTGACGCCCAGGCGAGTACAGCATTCATCTCGTTTGTTGCCCACTTGGCTGCGCCTGATGGATACCCACTTCTGCATGGGTCCGTCGCTCGCCTCGTGTGTCCGGACCCCCCAGAGAATGTCTGTTATGGGCAGTGGGTCCTGTGACCTGTCTCTCCCTCTCCAGCACTGGAGCCCTCGGGCACCTGGCTTTAAGGTCCTCCATCGAGATAGTTATCTTGCTTGCGGCTCATAAGGCTCTGTGTTGTGGGAGTGGATGGTGAGGAGTCACAAGCTGCCACCATCTTGCAGGATAGGCCTCGGACGTTTCTTGCACCCCAGTCACCTCACCCCTCATGCTCTCCCTAGTAGGGACAGGGATGACCCCCCCCCCCTGCCCCAAGTGGGGGAAACGGGACTGGCAAGCCGCTCTGGCAGTCGGCGTATGTCAGCCGGGAGTGGAGGCCCGGCAGCGGCCGTCCACCTCACTCCCCTCCCGAGTAGGCCGCAGCCCTCCGCTACCTCTCCCGCAGCCGTGGGTGTCTCATCAGCTTGTTTTTCATCATTTGAATCTGCCGTTTGCAGCCTAAGGGGCCCTGTTTCTCCGGAGCCTCTCCAGCATTCGACCGGTTAGCATGGCGGTCCGGCCCCGCCCCCGCAATATAATTCTTACTTGGACAATGGCGAACAATCTGTTACAGTGTAAAACAAACATGATAATGCAATATTCAGGTATTGTATTCAAGCATTTACTACAATGTAAGAGGCAATTAGTGGCATTCATCTGGCTAATAACTTGGTTAGAGTTTCGGATGCGGACCTTTAGGTCATGAACAAGTATAGCGCATTGGTACCTGGCTATTAAAGGGTCAGGCTACTAAAAACATAAAGAGTGAAGCATCCTAACTATGGCTGAGCATTACATATTAAACATTGCTAAATGGACCCACTTTAAATGTATGTGGCAACATGCTGGCTTGAAGTGCAGTAAATTTTAAGCTGAAACTTAAACATGACCAAACAAACTGGTTTTTGGTGTGTATCTGGTTAATAGCTTGATTAGAGTTTTGAATGTTGACCTCTTAGTCATGAACAGTTATAGCGCATTGGCATCTGGCTATTAAGGGTTTAGGCTATTAAAAACATAAAGGGCTAAACACCCTAACTACGGCAGGCCATTACATATTAAATATTGCTAAATGGAACCATGGTGAATGTATGTGGCATTATGCTGACTTATAGTGCAGTAAAGATAAGGCTAAGACTTAAACATGGCTAACTCCGATCACAAGGGGGTCAATTTTGCCATTGAGCTTAAAAAATAAAATGTTAGCCAGAAAATAAAAATATAAATCAAGATGAGGTGAAAAGAAAAATTTAGTTTCTTCGGTTTGGATGGGGGTACACAGTCCGGCACGACAACGAATCATGAATAAAAATAAACGTGGGTCTTCCTGTCCCATAGGAAAGATATCAGGGGTTGACGGAGCTTGGTAAATGCATTCGCATCTAGGGTCTGTTCGCAGATACCCTCCAGGTTATCAGACCCCCATATGTCTCCCCAGGACCAGTCCAGTCCATCAGTAAAATGCTCCCCAGCACTGTGGGCACTCAGAGGCCGATCAGTATGTTGGACCCTCATTACCTAGAGTCCACACGCTGCCCATCTCCTGCATCTCCCCAGTGCAGTGGTATCATGAAGCGCTAGCCCCTATGTATCACCCTGCTCCGGCCACTTGCGTGGTTTCATCACACGGCACGCCCAGCCACCAGTCCGCTGGAAGGTCTGCGCCATCCGCGCCAGTGACTTTGCTCTCTGGGCCCCCTACACACCCAATTGAGGCCAACACTTCCCCTGAAGACAGGCAGGTTTGTAACTTTTGAGGGGACTCAGAGTGTCTTGATATAGCCCCGTAGTTCAGGTAAGTCTGCCGCTCAGCTTCCCTTCCACCTCAGGAACTTGGGTGCATTTCATTAGTCCCGGGATTGGGGATGGTGTGGGGGTTGTCACTCATGGTGCCGCTCCCATCCTTTGTTGGTATAGCCGAAGATCTGACTCATGGGCCGGGATCACCCCTGCTGGCCAAGAGGGGGTGAGCGGGCTTGATTCCCTATCTTCTCAAAGTCACTTGATGCAGTGCTGGAGCATTAATGCTGGCTGTGTGACTTGCATGCGGCAACATGGCAAGGTCAGAAGGTAGGCCCTAGGCATCTTTTGTGGTCCTCACTCTTTCCCCTCGAGGATACCCTGTGATGGACAGGTTTTGGCGGGTTCTTGAGGCATAAAATCTGTCTTTTTTTTGGGGGGGGGGTGGGGTGGCGATAGCTGAGTTAGCAGAGATGGCAGCGATCCCTCTCGGCTGCCAGGCCCTGCCCCCCTGAATAATTAGGTATATAGTGTTTATGTTAAAGTTGAAGTTTTAATATTTATATATTTATAATAAAGCTTTGGCCTATTTACTCCAAAGCAATTCTGATGTGTTTAATTTCGGGAATAAATGGTTGGGTATCAATGGTAAAGGTTTATGCCCATAAACAGTTATCCTCTACCTACACACAAGACCATGAGGAATATAATGGGTTTGACACCAGACAAACATACCCCCCTCAAAAGTTAAAGTACCACTCCACACCCACAAAGCAATTCAGCTTACTTTATGGGTGAGGAGTATCCCATCATAGAGACACTTTATATAAGTGACGATTTTATAATTAAATAATGAAAAAAAGTAACTCAGCCAGATCAAAACAGATCAAAACATGCCTTAAATGAATACATACATGTACTCATTGTGGGTATATCTACTAAATGTGTCTCAGTTTGCAAAACTGTGCCATCAATCAAAAGAGATAGCTAATAGTGGCACTTCAGTAAACATCCACATAATATTTTGTTGACCTAAGATTCATGACAGGAAAAACACAAGAGCAAGTTGCACTCTGACAGCGTGTCACCTCCCATTACACAGCCAGTTATAAATGTGACAACCGACAACTTCATGAACATTGATTTCCTGTACACATGGTCACCATGGCAGGCACAGAAAGTGACACCAACATTTTCTATGGTACACTTTTTAGTGTACTGGCAATATTCAATGGTAGTCTGACCACTCAGGTGTATAGACTTAGGCTTCAAAAGATCTTTAGCTTGTTGAGGGAATAAGAGGATCTTCCCCACTATTCTGGCATCATTAAATGTACAGTTAAGCAGAACAACATCAAATGCAGCATTTTATTGGACAAATGCATGACACTTGCTGTCCTCACAGCTTCTCTATGATCTCTATAATCCAGACATGGACCTCATGCTCACTGTGCCTATTATTATTATTATTGCCATTTATATAGCGCCAACAGATTACGTAGCGCTTTACAATATTATGAGAGGGGGGATTTAACTTTAAATAGGACAGTTAGAATTAAACTTACAGGAATGATAGGTTGAAGAAGGCCCTGCTCAAACAAGCTTACACTCTATAGGAGGTGGGGTGTAAAACACATTAGGACAGGAAATAGCAATCAAATAAGGTGGGAGTGAAGCAGAGCTGGAGGAGAGAGTAAAGTGTTGCCCTTTAGGAGAGAGCAATAGACATTTATGTGAGGTAGAGGCTACTCTGGGAGGCCATAAGCTTTCCTAAAGAGATGGGTTTTAAGGCACTTCTTAAATGATTGAAGACTAGGGGAGAGTCTGTGGTGGTAGACAGGCTATTCCATAGGAAGGAAGCCGCCCGCATGAAGTCCTGCAAGCGCGAGTTGGCCATACGGGTGCGAGCAGCGGACAGGAGAAGGTCATGGGCAGAGCAGAGAGACCGAGAAGGGGCATACCTATGGATCTGTGAAGAGATAAGAGGGGCTAGAATTGTTCAGTGCTTTATAGGTAGGGGTTAGCACTTTGACCTGACTCCCATAGGACACAGGAAGCCAATGTAAGGACTGACAGAGGGGTGAGGTGTGAGAGGACTGACTAGAGAGGAAAATCAGTCTGTGGCAACATTCATTACAGACTGTAGCGGGACAATACGGCTTTTGGGAAGAACAATTAGGAGAGGGTTACAATAATCCATGCAGGAAATTATTAGAGCATGGACAAGCCCCTTGGTAGCATCTAACGTAATAAAGGGGCAGATACCGAGAGGGGTACAAGCTACACCTCGCTGACCAGTCCCAAAGAAGGCTGAAATGGTCATCCAGGATTACTGTATCTCTAGAGGACTTGACAGAATGTTGGTTCTGGATTGCATGCATTAGTAGGATCAGTCTTTTATGCAAAAGCAAGTGAGCAAAAACATATTTGAGATCTGAGCCTAACTGAAATAGCAAGCTGAGTTTTTAACCTATAATTGTAGTCCCTTATTGCAATGCCCTTTTCATGAATCCTTGACAACAGAGCAATGTGTTAACCTATTTATATTTTATTAATTCATATTTCATTAGCTCACCTTTTTCTGGAGTTAGCAACTTGGGAGGGAACAAAGAGGGAATACACATGAGGTTTGAATGTTGTAATCGAAGTGAAACATAAATAAATAAACACAAGCAGAAATTTTCAATCAAAATGTTTATTTAATAACTTTAGTGATACACCTTGGAGAATGGCCGTGGACCTTTATTATGGATTTCATAATTCCTATTAAACCATAACCATATGAATAATAATAAACCATAGCTTTAAAACCAACATATTAAACCACTTTCCAAGGCTCCGCCCCCTCCAAAGCCAGGAGCCATAAATATCTCTTCAACCAAATCCACCAAATCCACCCGCCTGTGATGACCAGGAGGGCGACTTATATCCCATAATAAGGTCACGACATAAAATAAATAAAAGGGGGAAGGGTGGGTGGGAACAGCAGCTTAAATATTTTAATATATAGCTAACCTTCGGATTTGTCTGGCACAATCTGAGGCAATTAATTTGGCGCCCTCCAATTTATATCCCCTATTTTCCCTCCAATATTGCCCTCGCGCTGCTATCTACCAATCAGGGCTCATGCCCTGGTCGCGAGCTTGCCGCCTTAACTGCCAGCGCGAGCTGCCTTGTATTTAACCCTAACCTGCATTTAACCCCTAGCGCGAGCGCTATACTTACCCACTTCGCTCCATCAAACCTCATGGGGCTTCTCCTTAAGCAGTCCGCGTGCCCGACATGAGGTTTGAATGTTGTAATCGAAGTGAAACATAAATAAATAAACACAAGCAGAAATTTTCAATCAAAATGTTTATTTAATAACTTTAGTGATACACCTTGGAGAATGGCCGTGGACCTTTATTATGGATTTCATAATTCCTATTAAACCATAACCATATGAATAATAATAAACCATAGCTTTAAAACCAACATATTAAACCACTTTCCAAGGCTCCGCCCCCCTCCAAAGCCAGGAGCCATAAATATCTCTTCAACCAAATCCACCAAATCCACCCGCCTGTGATGACCAGGAGGGCGACTTATATCCCAACGCCACCGAGGTTCTGGGCTACCAAACTCGGTGGCCCCCCAACGCCCACGGCCATCTCCAACATGGATTGAATCTCCAAATTAAATATATCCAAACCAATATCCGACAAGTGAACTTCATCGCTCCTATAAAAGCCAGCGCAATTGCCCTCAATATCCCTGTGTCTATATGAGGTCATTCCCAGGGTTGGTAAAAAAAATTTCCAACGCTCTATTTACTTTCCTACGTAC